GCGCGGCGGGGCCGGGGGGCGGGGGCCCCTCCGGCGGCGCAGGGTCCACCGGGTCTCCGCAGCTTCGCCGACTACTTCGGGCGGCTGAGCCGAGCCCGGCGGGAGCTGCCGGCCGCCCCGCCGAGCCCCCCCCGGCCGCCGGCCGAGGACATCTCACCCCGCGATGTCTTCATCGCCGTCAAGACCACCAAGAAGTTTCACAAGGCGCGGCTGGAGCTGCTGCTCGATACCTGGATCTCCCGCAACCGTGACATGGTAAGGGAATGGGGATGGGGACGGTCCCTGCCGCCGGCCGGGATGGAGCGGCACGGGCTGGGCTGCAGTCCGCGGGTGTCAGCTGCGGCCCTGGCCCCTCGCTGTGCGGGGCCCATGGGGTGCTGTGGCCTGGCAAATGCCACCTCTCCTTTCTGCTCCCCCCATATCGCTGAATAAAGGGTATTTTGAGGCTGTTCGGGCTGTCTGGTGCTAGCTGTGGTTTTGGGAGGGTGAAATGCAGTGTTGCAGGGTGAGTTTGGGATGGGTGAGTGTTGGAGGGAGCCTGACCTGGGCTCCTTGCACTCAGCAGCCCTCCAAAATGCTGCTCTGGGGTCCTTCCTGCTAAAAAACCTGCTGAGCGGCTCCCATTGCAGAGCTTGCCCTGAGTTGCTTTCCAGTGGGGAAACTGAGGCACGGGGTAGGGATGCAACCCAATCCACTGGTGCTTGGTGTGGGATCAGGTCCCTGCAGGTGCTCTCCTGGGCTGTAGGGCCCAGCTGCGGGTGAGGTTTGGCAGGGCCCTGCGAGCTGGCTGCAGCTGGGTTGCCCAGGGACACCCAGTTTAGCAGCCCAGGGCTGGGAGAGCATTGGGATGTGCTCGGGCTTTCGGTCCCCTTGCCGGGAACTGGACAGGACTGGAGTGGCTGGGGGCTCTTGCAGGTCGGCTCTGGCTTGGCTGCACCAGGGCAGTTGCAGTTAGTCTGATTCCTGACCTTACTGATGTCCTGCCCAGAGCTCTGGCAGTCCCTTACTCTGTCCTTCAAGTACTGAAGCAAAATTGAAAAGAAAAAAAGCTGTTTCCTTAGGAAATGAGCCTTGCCATCTGCTCTTAAGACACTTTCTATCCTTAGACAACTTCCCAAGTAAGTTATGCCTGGTCCTAACCTTTCCATCCTACTGTCTTCACGTGTTTCCTTCTGGCGCAGAATTGTGTTTCTCGCTTGCAAGCTGTTCTTTTGGAAATCGGGAGTGGCGGGGGGGGGGCATTGACCTGCCCTTGCCTTCTTCACCCAAGTTTGCCGGACCCGGTGGGGTCTTGGCTCCTGCAACTTATCCCAAGCATTATCTTACTTTTTTCCCTCCCTGTGAATCTTGTCCCTTTTTTTTGCTTAGGCCCCCTGGGCTTGGCAGTGGCTCTGCTGTCTCTCCCTGGTACACTTATTTAATGGAAACCTCTTTTATGCTCTGCTGTCACTGCAAGGGGGTGGTGAGTGGTGGTGGGGGGAAACGCTCTTTGAGCACCTACAGATGATCCTGGGAATGGCTGCTCTTTTTTCTCCCCCCCCTCCCTCTTGTGAGCTCCGGCTTTCTTCTAGGTTTTTTTTTGTTGTGCTTCGTTTGTCCGTTTGGATTCCCAGAGACCCGAGGCTCGGCTCTCACGCTGTCCCCCTGGGCAAGCTAACAAAGCCCCTTTTCTCCTGGCGCAGAGAAAAGGCTTCGCAGCCTCTTGTGTGGCACTTTCCATGGGAACGGGGGAGCCGGAGCTGGCGGTGTCCAGGTCAGGTTGCCTAGAGATGAGGGCCATGAAGCCAGGGGGGCCGCAGCCCTGCGAGGTGCCCGCCTGACAAGCCAAGCCGCTGAGTGACGGCTCTTGTACAGCACTTGAGGACAAGGAGCTGCCGAGAGAGCTGGAGGCGGCGCAAGCTCCTGCAGAGCAAAATGAGGGCTGGGGGGGACACATGGAAGCAAAGGGGACAAACCCACGCCGCTGGTAGCGATTGGCTCCAGTCTTCCCACACTGACCTGGCTGCTGGCTTTGGGAAGCTTTGGGGCAGCCTGGGTTCCCCCAAACTTGGCGTCAAGTTGGGACTTTTTGCCTGCTGAGTGCAGGATTGGTGCCATGGGGCTCCTCTCCATTGCTTCCCTGTCCTGGGGGGCTGTGAGGTTCCTGCATCCCCTCCTTGCCTGGCCCTGGGTTTCTGCCCCGGCAGGTTGGTGTGGTGACAGCAGGGTGCTGCCTCTGCTCAAATGTCTGTCTTGGTCTGAATCAGGCCCATCTCTGCTCATCCTGTCCCTCTCTAGCTCTTCTTTTGCTAACGGTGCTCAGGCATGTGTGCCACCTTGCCGATGCAGGGAAGTTCCTGCCAAAGGGCTGAGAATCCCGCAGGCCTGATGCCATGTCAAATCCCAGCCTCCCTCTTGGCTGTTCATTAGCCAGGCTAGCCTCCTCTCTGGGGAGGAGGGATGCAGGCACTGGCAAGAAGGGGTTAAATCCAGCAGGTAACTCCAGGCTGGACCCTGGCAGATAGGGGAATAGCTATTGTGTCCTTCCTTGGCTGCTCTTTGTTCTGCCCACAATAGTCCCTGTTTCCTGCCCTCTGTCCCCTCCAAGACCCTGAAATGAGCACCCCCTTCTCCTTCCTCCTTCTCTCTGGGTGTGGAGGGCAGATCCCTATTCCCTTCTAAATCTGTTCCCCGGCTTGCACAATCCAGGCCAGACAAGCTGCTGTTGGAGGAGAGTTATGGGTTTTCCCCTCCTTGCTTTGGGGAGAGTTTCCAGCTGTCTCAGTATCCTTAGGATGCTGGAGTGCAGTCCAGGGAAAGAAAAGAGAGGAGGGAGGAAAATGGCCATTAGGCAGAAATCCTGGACAGGAGGGAGTCCAAACCCACTGTTTTCGTTTGCCTGCAGTCGGGTGATTTGCAGTGGCAGAGTTGCATAAGAAACATCCCCTGTCCCCGGGGCACCCCGAAGGCAGCCGGGCGGCTCGGCACACGCTGTGGTGCCCACGAGGCCCTAGGCTGGGCTGCCGTCCCGCCAGCGTGGGATCCGCTGGCTTCCTCCAGCTCAACGCAGTAATTGCAGGCTTTGAAAAATTCCTTCTCTCAGGGCAGAGGGAATGGGTTTGCCTTCCGGAGAGCACGCTCCTCCGATGGCGCCTCCCAGATTTCTCTAGCACCTTGGCCAGGGTCCCCATCCTTGGGGTGGGTGGCCGCGGCAGAGAGTGCTGGCATGTGTGTCCCACTTGGGCTCCCACCAGGGCGGCTGGGACCAGGGGGCTGCTCATTCCAAACCAGCTCCATGAGGCAGCCGGCTCCCCCCATCCCTGGGCTGTGTGCCAGGGCCTGCTGAGCACTGATGAACTCGGCTCATGTGTGAGGGTGCCTCCCTGCTGCCCCCCCGGGCAGCCTGTGTGGGTTTTGGGGGTGGGGGGCCCTTAATTGCCTGCTCCAACGATGCCTCTGTCCTTGTCCATAAAAGCCCCGGAGCCGGTGAGCGGCGCGCGCGGAGCGCCAGGCAGGAGGGTGGGGGACCCTTGCTGCACAATGAGCTCATTGTTTGCGAGGAGGTTATTAAAAAATTATAGCATTTAAAATTACAGTGGAGGATTCTTCTTCTTGCCGAAAGGAGCGGGGGAGGAAGGGCCTGCGGCCTTGCAAGCCCCTTTCCCGCCTCTGCGGGTCCCAGCCCCAGGACCCTTGTGCCAGCACAGACCCCTCCAGTCCTCGGGAAAGCCACCGCCAGGCAGGAGTGGGGACGCTGCCATCGCAGGGACACCGCCATCACGCTGCTCCCGATCTGTTGAAGTGGGGTGGGGATTTTCCCTCTGAACCCCCACAGGCTGGAGGGAAAACATCTGCTGCGGGGAACACAAAGCTGGGCAGGGGCCTGCTCTGGCAACACCCTTGCCTCTCCCTGGAGCCCCTTGCCCAGCTGGAGGCTGAGCCCGCCCCCCAGCACCTCTTTGCTGCCTCCTTCCCCCCACACCCAAGTGGGGTGGCTGCTTCCCCCTTGCCCTTGGGGTGAAAGGGGGTGCAGCACCCCCCCCACAGGTGCTGTGTAGGTGGGTGCCGGGGTGCTCCATCCTCTCCCAGCACAGGGAAGTGATACATGGCGCAGGGGCAGGATTTGTGCACTGCAGAGTCACGGGGGTTCCTGCCTGGCCGAGGTTCCCCTTTTTGGTGGATGTGCTGTCGGGGAAGGTGGGGACGGCCATGGGCGCGGGGTCTGCTGAGCATGTGTCACTGGGAAATCATCTGGACCGCTCGGCCAGGCAGCGCAGAGGGGCGCAGGGTGACCCCGGGGTGGCCTCAGCTGGTGGGACGTCTTGCGCAGCACCCAGCCATGAGCGACCCACAAGCTCGGTCGTTGGAGGGGGAAATGAGTCACTGCAAAAGGAGAAATGAAGGGGTGGGGAAAAAAAGAAATGGACTCTCCCCAAAGGCGAGGAGGAGGCAGGGGGCTGCCGGTGGCTGCCTGGCTCCTTGCAGGCAGCTGTGGGGGGGCTGACCCCCCCCCCGCCGTAGGGACCCCGGGAGCCTCTCGGTCCCTGTACACAGAGGCCACACATTGTGCGGGGCTGTACGGAGCGGTGGCAGCTATTGTTCAGGAGGGATTTGGCATCCTGTGTTTCTTGAAGCTGCAGTTTTGAGAACAATGAGGTTTCCTGCAGGGGCTGGGGGGGCCAGCGGGCCCTTCCTCTCCTGCACCCTGCAGGAAAAGTTACTGTGGGGGGGGGCCCAAGGGGTCCTGGCACCCCTCGGTGCCATGGCTGGCATAGGGGCCAAGTGGGGGAGAGGTGGAGGGGAGTGAGTGTAAGGGCTTCGGGTGCTTTCTGCCTGGGAGAGGGGTAGGAGCCTGGCCCTGCTACTTTTGGGTCTGGAGAGGGTGGCTTGGTAGGTGACAGCTCAGTTACTGTGTCCCATCCTACTTACCCCGCTGCAAACTGGGTTCTGCCCTGATGCCCAGTGCCCTGCATCAGGAATGCTGAAGGCTGATCCGTGGTTTTTCCTTGTCACACCAACCTTTTTCTTGTCCCCAACCTTTCCTGCCCTGTCCCCTCCCAGACTCAGCTGGCACTTCTGCTCCTCTCCCCTGCAGCCCCGGGGCGAGGGGGCTGAACAGAAAGGGCACAGCCCCCCACCCCTCAAGAAATGAAGACAAATTAATTAAAAAATAGAGGCTTTCATTTTTTTAGTTTTAATTGTATATTGAGGTGGGGCTGGGAGGGAGGTGGGGAGCCTGCGAGGCCCCAGTAGCCCCTGCGACGTGACTTGCAGGGCTGTGTGCCCCTGTCATGCTACCCAAAGTGCCACCTGGTCCACCTGCACCAGGACAATTAGGGGGATGTAGGTGGGGAGAGGCCAGAGGGAAGATGCCTCATTAGGATGAAGCCTTTCGGTGCGGGTGAATAATAAACAATTGTCCCTGTGGTCTATTTATAGCAGCTGAGCTGGAGGATTAGTTGTGGGGTTATTTTTGGAGCAGCTGAAGGCACAGTTGCTGGATGGCGTTTCTGAGCTAGTCAAGCAAACATTTTCTGTCTCGCCTGTGTGGAGGCTGTGTGTCCCCCGCCTCCCCCTTCCCCCTCTGGCGGGGCTGGAGCCTGGGGGGTGTACCGGGGCAACACGTGTCTCAGGTGGATGAGAAAGGGCTTGTGATGGGGTCATCTTGAGCATCCTTGGATGGTCTCTCCCTGCCCTGGGTCAGCCCATACCCCCAGCAGCTGCCTGACCCCTCCCTGAGCCCCTGGGAGAAATGGGGACCACCAACAAGATGCTGGCTGGGACCCCACATGGTTGGGGGTGATGTCCTTCTCTGCCAGGCACAGCACTGACCCTGTCCCACCGCAGCAGTGACACATGTCCCAGGGCCACGATGATCATGGGCATCCTTGGCCCTGCAGCTACTGGGCTAAGGTCCCTGTCCCCCAGCTGTCCCCTCCTCATCAGAGGGTCCCCCATCCCCTAACCCTTTGCTCACAGCCTTCCTGACCCATGGGGGGCTGACCTCTGTCCCTCCCCAAAAGCAGGGCTGTGCGGCGGGCTGTGCATTTGTGAGAACTTGCCTTCCTACCTCCTCCATCTTTCTTTTTTTTTTTTCTTTTTCTTTTCTCCTTTTCAAGGCCCAGAGGTCACTTGTAGCCCCATCTCCAGGAACGCGTCCTCCTCCCCTCCCATTCAGCCTTCTTGCAGATCTGGGCTCTCCCCACCAGCTTTCCCACTTGGGACCTGTGCAAACACCGGCCGGCCGGGTTAACCAGCGCAGCTGTATGCTAATGACCGCTGCTGCCCACTTAACTCTCCTCTGCTGAGTAAAGTCAACCCAGCTATTGTACCCACCTCCTCAAACAAACCACAAAACCCCAGCGCGTTCCCGGGGCTGGCTGGCTGCGGGGTGTCACCCAATTTCCACCTCACTTGTAATTCATCATCCCCAGCACTCGGTCTCCATCGTTCCCCCTCTGCCGCCTCCTGCCTTCTCCCCCTCATCCCTTTTGTCTTTCTTCCTTTGCCCTTTTGTGCACGTCTGGTTTTTAATAGCGCTTGGCAGCTGGTTGTGGTTTCTCTCCTCCAGCTTTGTTTGCTGCCCACTGATTGATGGTGATGCCTTTCCTACCCCCTGCTCTCTCCTCCTGCTTCTCGCCCTTCCCCAAATCCCAGGCCAACAGCAGGCCCTACCAGTCCTCTTTCCCGGGCGACATATGCCAGGAATTACCTGTGTAAATAGAGGAGTGCAGCTGGGCAGGCAGCTTAGGTGCCCCGGGGGGAGGTAGGTTGCTGCCTGGCACCACAGGGACCACGCTGGGGTGGGCAGCGAGGGACTGTTCCTTCCTCTGGGCTGGCGAGAGGCACCCACTGGCACCGGCTCAGCCACCCTGGGCAGGGACGGGGAGCGGAGAGAAGCCGTGGGGGTGTTGTGCAAGTGGCTGGGGACCGCCACATGCTGTTGACACAGGTGGGGACATGGTTGGCAGCCGGTGCTGCGGGCAAACACACCTGCGTGGGCAGGGAGAGCCGCCGGGCGGCTGCTTTGGCATCCCCGGCCGCACATGCTGGCCGCGCCAGCTAAAGTCTGAAGTCTCCGCTCAGATCGAGCTGCGCTCTGCACCCACTCCTCCTAACCTGCTCCTCTCTGCGCACCCTCCTCATGCTGGGGATGGCCCTCGTGTCACCCAAAATCCTTCTGCCTGCTACTGCCCCGTGGAAAAGGCAAGAGGATGGGGATGCTCAGCACGGGTGCTGGAGGGGGCTGGGGTTTTCACCCCGGTGAGGCACGGTGTTGCATGCCATGTCCTGCCAGAACAGCTTGGCACCCTTCTTGGTCTGCGCCTGAGCGTTTCATGGGTTTGCCTGGCTTTCTGGTGCTGCTTTGGGTTTTAGCAAGGAGGAAGAAGTGATCACCAGCGCCCCGGTGGGACCAATCCCCAGTGCTGCCCGGCTATGCCGGGTAGTGACTAGAGCTGTGTGGCCTCGAGTCCTCCCTCCTCACAGGTGCCTCATCTTCTCTTTCAGACCTTCATCTTCACAGATGGGGAGGATGAGGAGCTGAAGAAGCAAGCACGTGAGTCTGTGGCCCTTGTCCCCTTGCATGAGTGACCTGGCCAGGTTCCCTGAGGACCCTCCACCTGGGGAGCATGGCTGGTGTGGAGCCTGCCCCGGGAACTCCAAAAAAAATGGTCAAAAAGCCACCGGTTAGACAGTAATCTCAGGAACCCTCGCCACAGGGACCTGGGTTGAGAACGAGGCAATTTGCTTCACTGATGGTGCCTAAAGCACCCTCTGCCCAGGAGCCCCACCTGGGGATGGGTTTCCTTCCCAGTCAGCCCAGCCCATCTCCTGCACGATGCTGCTGGGGAGCACGCTAATGGGGTGGGGGGCCTTTGTGCCAGTTTGTCTCTGGGGCGAGCTGGGATTGAGGGGCAACGCGCCAGGGTTTCATGGGAGCATTTCCCTGGCAGCCGCTCCACGGGGCCAGGGTCAGCTCTGTCTATTCTCCCCATGCAAATGACTCCTTTTCAGGCTGGGAAGTGATTGCCTTTGAGCTGGGCAAGCAAATAGCAGGTGGCGCCTGCAGGAAAAGGCAGTGGGAGTAGGGCAGGATTTTGGATACCCCCTCACTCCTGGGGTGGCTGGTGCATGGCCCTGGGATGGGCAAGGTGATGTAGGGTGGCATCATGCATAGCGCATCGGATACAGCTCAACCCCAGTGCATCTGCATCCCTTGCTCATCCCTTCTCTTGTCTCACATGGACCCAAAAGCCATTCCCCAAAAATTCATTCTTTGCCCAAGGCGATGTGGCACGGAGGCCACCGAGCATCAGGGAGGTCTGTGGGGTTTCCATCCCCCTGGTGCCCCTGAAATGTGTGTGGTGAAGCATCGCTGTTCAAGCAAGCAGGGAGGTGCAGCGTACCCCAGCACCAGGCTTTGACTCCCATCTCTTCCCACAGGAAACGTCATCAACACCAACTGCTCGGCCGCCCACAGCCGCCAGGCCCTGTCCTGCAAGATGGCCGTGGAGTACGACAAGTTCATCGAGTCCGGCAGAAAGTAAGAAGTGCCCAGGGCTGCCGTGGGGGGCGGCGGGGCTGCAAGGGCGGGGGGACGGTGTAGGCAGAGGCCGTTCGCATTTTTGGGGCCATATCTCAGCATGGGGTCTGGGGAGCTGCCCCGGCCTGGCGTGACACTGCTGCCACTGCAGGTGGTTCTGCCACGTGGACGATGACAACTATGTGAACGTGCGGACACTGGTGAAGCTGCTCTCCAGCTACCCCCACACGCAGGACATCTACATCGGGAAGCCCAGCCTGGATCGGCCCATCCAGGCTACGGAGAGGATCAGCGAGAACAAGATGGTGAGGAGGGGGTGAGACGTTGGGGCTGGCTTAATTTGTGCTGGGGTTTGCTCCCCAGTCGGTGGGAGGAGGTCTCACTGCCATTGCTTCCCCTCTCTCACAGCACCCTGTGCATTTCTGGTTTGCCACGGGCGGAGCAGGGTTTTGTATCAGCCGGGGACTGGCACTGAAGATGAGCCCGTGGGCCAGGTAAGAGCATTGGCGTTGCTCTCCCATGGGGACTTGTCATGGTCCCAGCGGGCCACAGAGAGGCGACATCTTTGGGGCTGGACGTTGGGCTGTGTCCTACCACCTTGCTGTCTTTGCCTTGCTGGGAGTTTCTGCAGGGGGCTTGGAAACAAGCTGGGAAGGACCTCAGTTCCCCCAAGTCTAATTGACTTTTAATTAGAGCTAGAGCTGGGCACCCAGTGGCCAAGCCCAGACCCCATGGGGTGCCCACATCCCCCCAGGCTTTGCTCCTCTGCAGCTCCTCTCTGTCTCCCCGCAGTGGGGGCCACTTCATGAGCACAGCAGAGAAGATCCGCCTGCCCGATGACTGCACCATCGGCTACATCATCGAGTCTGTGCTGGGGGTGAAGCTCATCCGGAGCAACCTCTTCCACTCGCACCTGGAGAACCTCCACCAGGTGCCCAAGACGGAGATCCACAAACAGGTATCGCTGTCCTGATGCCCTGGGCTGGATGGAGGGGTTGGGGTGGATGGTACCATCATCTGGTTTCATGTTGTCACCTAAAAACTGGGCATCACAGCTAAGATATTGATTGACATGCTTCCAAAATGTCAGCGGAAGGGGAAAGCCCTGTCAGCCCATCTCTGTGGGGTGATGCAGAGCGTGACCAGAGGCTGCGGGAAAAGGGGGGAATCTTGCAGCCCCCCCCCCCCCCAAATGCCCCTGCTTGATCCTTGTGGCCATGTCGGCTGCTTGACCCCCCTGCGTTTCCTCCCCCCAGGTGACACTAAGTTACGGCATGTTCGAAAACAAGCGCAACTCCATCCACATGAAGGGAGCCTTCTCTGTCGAGGAGGACCCATCCAGGTGAGATGGGGGGACTCTGTCCCCCCTGAGCTGGGGTGCTGCAGGGCCACTGCTGCCCCATGCTCAACATCGCTCCTCTCCTCCGCAGGTTTCGCTCTGTGCACTGCCTGCTGTACCCTGACACGCCGTGGTGCCCCGCCAACGTGGTTTACTAGGATACGCGTGTCCCCTCTAACCTCGTCCCGAACTTCCCCGGTATCCGACGGGTGTGCGGGACCTGCATGCGGGTGTGTCAGTCTGGTCTTGCCGCGAGGCGGACGGACGGACGTCGTTGCTGTGGTATTGCACAGTGTGTGTGTACTGAAGGCTGCTGTGCGGCCCCTTTTCCCCTGCCCTGCCTGCCCGGCTGCCTGTGCCCGCTGCCCGCTCCGTCTGGGACGGCGAGGAGGGACGGGTCCTGAGCACTTAACCCTTGGGCACCCCCGTGGCGCTGGCGGGCCCCACGCCATGCGTGGGGGTCGACCACGGGCGCTGTGCGGCTCTGCCTTCCCCAGGCTTGCTTGTCCTTTTTTTTTTTTTTTTTCTTTTTTCTTTTTTCTTTTTTTCCGTTTCAAATGTTAAGTTTTTTGGTGTGTGCCTCCCCCACTCTGCTCCTATAACCCCTCACCCGCCTCATCCTCTCTCCCAGCCCCAAAATCTCAGCAGCGAAGCTCCAGCTCCCGATTCAGATGAAGGGTCACTGGCAAGTTTTGCTCCCCGGCTCGGTGGGCAGGCAGGGGAAGCCTCCTGACCACGGCGACCGCTGCTCCAGGGTGCTGCAAAGCTGCTGGGTGCTCGACAGCCACACTGGAGGGAGACGGTGGGGTGGGCTCTGAGCCGGCGTTGGCATTAGCTCTGTTTCCTGGAGCTCCCCCCATCTGGCTGAACTGTTGCCGGCAGCATTGATCTATGCACTATTTATAGACTAATGTAAAGACTTTCTATAAATACGGGGGGCGGGAGGAGGGCTTTTCTGGAGCTGCCGGCGCGGCGTGGGCGCTGTGTTTGTACAGGGTCTCCCTTCAGTGCTGCCTCCCTACCTGCTTGCGGGCTGGCCACAGGCAGCGGGTGCAGGCAGGCTGAGCGTGGGCAGCCCCGCAGCTTTGCAAAGCAGCACTTCAAGGTCCAGCTGGGGGCTGTGTGGGTGTCCCCACCCCTGCCGTGGGGCTGGAGCATCCTCCAGCCCTGGTCTGGCTGCGAGTGCTGCTTGCGGTGGCTGGAGCATCCGAAAGGCACCCAGCCAGCCGGGCACCTGCCGCAGGCAGGCAGTGTTTCCCAGCCTGGCTGTTGCTCCCTCCCTGCCGGGCAGCCAGCAAGGGATTTAGCTGGGGAGGGAGAGGGACCCTGCATCCCCCCATAGCCCCCCTGCCTGCCACTGCCAGCCCTGCACCCCTGGGGCGAGCGGGCTGAGCCGGAGCTGAACATTTCCAACCCAAAGCTGAGTGAAAATAGCCCATAATGGGTGCGTTGTAAATATGTTATTGCGCCAGTATTTTTTTTACTGTGCCTTTTTTTTAAAAAAAAAAAAAAAAACAAACACGTTGAGAAATATGTAGATTTTAAAATGCTTTTTATACATTTTCTGTGGATCGGAAAAAAACCCCCAACCTTCTGATAATCTGTTTAAGAAAGAAAAAAAAATTTGCGATGTCTTGTAACTATCACTTACCTTAATTTATATGTTCCAGTATCTGGAACGTCACTGTGCTTTTTGTAACTAGGATGTGTTTAAAGCAATAGATGTGGGATGGGGAACCAGCACGGACAGGGTGTTCTCAGGGACTTGAACCCGATCGCTGCCACGGGGTTCCCGTGGGAGCCGTCACCAATAAAGCAGCTTTTTTGCTGACCACAGCCACCTGGTCCTGGGCTCTGGTGTCTCTTTATGGACGGGCTGCGCTGAACACCCCTCATTCCCCCCATGCATGTTATCGCCTCTAATGAAGCTCTCGGGGATGCGCTGAGGATGGATTGTGCCTGCATCCCTCTCTTTTCCCACGGGTACCAGGATCTGCTGGCCATTTGCATCCCAGGGTGCGGGGGTCCTCTCCTCCTTCCCCTCCCCAAAAGGCCCCGGCGGGGTTTGGCGCCTCGGGGCTGGTTTTTCCCAGGCTCTGGGTGGGAGCAGAGGCGACGGAGCGAGGTGAGAGCCGGTTGTTAGCAGGGTGCTGTTAACAGCCAGCGGGCAGGCGTGTGCGTGGGAAGGTTGGGGACTGCGGGGGGTTGAGCCCCTTCCCTCCCCGCTCTCCCTTTGCCCTCTCCGCTGCCGTTTTAGCAGACACCAAGGACCCACCTGCCAGTAACAAGCCCCAGATTTCATGGGCTGTGGCAATAGCATAAGATCTGCCCCCCCGCCCCCGAAACCAGCCCTGTTTGTACTGCACCGGTACCAGCTTTCGCCTGAGCCATCCTCTCCTCCCCCCGCCTTCCTCCATACCCAGCATTTTTTTCTTTTCGAGGTACACTTACTTACTTCACAGTTTCGCTTGAATCTCTCGGTTATCAGGGGTTGGCCTTGCTAAAAATACAGCCTAGCAGGAAGTTGGCATGTGCTAAAGCAACAACCCCCCTCCTCCCAACACCCGCACACCCTTCAGACAGCCCCGAAAATCAAAAGTCCCCTAAACTCTGCAGCCCTTGGTCTGCTGCAGACAGTGGGGGAGAGTGGGGAGTGGGGGGTGGCTCTGGCTCCTGCCTGATCTGGCCCCCCCAAAAAAAACCACAGGTACCCAAAAAGCTCCCTGGAGAAAGGGAAAGGTGGACAGCAATGCTGCCTTCACCCAGCACACATTGATTGGGGCCAGGAACTGCATGGTGGGTGTGGGATTTGGTGCCCGTTGGCCCCCCCGGCACAGGGTCAGCGAAGGGGAACTGCGTCAGGCGCAGGAAGCTGTGCCACCCGCCGCTCGCCCGCGTATTTTCCTGTTGCTCACGGGGCTGTGGTTTCAGCAGTGCGGGCGCTTCTCGGCAGCAGTGCTGTCACCCTTTCTGCAGGCTGGCCCTCCCTTGGCCCCCCTGGGCGGGATGGGGAGATGCAGCCAGGACAGGGCAGCACCCATCTCGCCCCAGGAAGAGGTGGGTGCAGGGGGCCTGTTTACTGCAAAACAGCCCAAATCTTGTGTTAAGCATCCACCAAGGCACTGGGGAGCCAGGGGCTGTGGCATAGGGCTGGAATGCTGCTGCAAAAAGCAGGAGCCCCTTAGCAGGCGTAAAGGCGGGGTGGGGGGTGCTGGGCATGGTGCAACACCTGGAGGGGGCTTCAAAATACAATAAAATACAGTAAAATAGAATAAAATCACCCCACCAAGCCTTCCGGAGTGGGTACAGGCAGCACACCAGCCCTCCAGTTTGTCCCACACCAGGCTCCCAGCCTCTCCCTCTTCCCTCCCTACTCGTGGGCTGAAAAGTAAATAAATACAGACATTAATAAACAAAAGGAAAACAAAAGCAAAGCCTGCTGCTCTCGCATACTTGGCGGGCTCATCAGGCCAGCCTGCTTTCATCGGCGCCCCAGCGCTGTTGTGGGACGTCCTGTTTACTCTCGCCAACTCGCAGCAGCTGATAAGGCGGCTGTACCTTTTGGAGGGTGCTGGTGTCTGGTGGTGGGGTGGGGACAAGCCTGGCTTGATGGGGACACTGCCATCATGTAGGGACCACTACTGTTGACACCATGATGCCCAAGGGATGCTCCAGCACCGTGCCCAGCCAAAGACTTTCCCGATCCCTGGGTGGTTGCAGCATTGAGGGCAGAGTAACATGCTGGTTTAGTCCTTTTTGTTGCTCCCCCCACCTCTTTTATTTTTTTTGTTTTAATTTGCATTTGGGTCACTCCCTGTCCTGGACTTTGTGTGAATCTCTGCGTTCCCAGCCTGGCTGCAGCACAGAAGCTTGGTGGCATGAGGACTTCTCCCTGAGCAGCTGTGTCTGTGCGGCGATGGGATGAACACCCATCCTGGCACCGACAGCGGCAAGAAATATTTGAGACTCGTGGTGGGAGGGGGTGTCGGGAGACAACGAAACTTGTGTGAATCAGCTCCAAGCGCCACTTCCAGCCGCTCTGGCCCAGCAAACTGGAATATTTGTGGGAAACAAACATAAAAGCAGCTGAATTGCAGGGCCTGAGTAACGCACACAACACTCCAGCTGCGGCTTTGGGAGTTGTCTGTCCCAACGCTGGGAAAGGAGAGTGCTGGGTCCCTGTGAGGGCATGGGCTGCACCCCACCACCTCTGTGCAGCTGGAGGCCATTAAATCCCTCACTAGCATCGTCTGTCTCGGAGTGAGGGGCTGCAAAGCCCTGTGGCAAATGGTGATGGCTGCAGGACGGCCGAGACACAGCGCCAGGGTGTGCAGGGCAGCCCCCCAAAAGCAGCTCCCAGCTATCACCCACATCCCCTTTATTTTTTCACCTTTCTCCTGTTTCCCACTCCTGCATCACTTGCAGGTAGTTAAAAGAAATACTCCCCCAGACCTCTACAGTTTATTTTTCTCTTCCTGACTTTTAAGATCAGCCTTGAATTGACCAAAACCAATTCCCTCCCCCTGGCCCACCCCAGGGCTCCCAGCACCCGCTGCTTTTGGTCTGCCTCAGCTGCCCAGCAGGGCCAGCTCTACTCCTATAGCCATTTGGCAAGCCAAGAGCTGCGGAGAAGATGAATTGAGCATCTTAAAAGCAGCTGGAAACACTTCCCACGGCACTGCCGGATGAGATCCGTGAAGCTGCAGCACCGCTGTATGGCCCCGCTCCCAACCCCTCCTTCCTCCTCCTCAGCAGCTGCGTCCCACTCCATCCCCCCCAAACCAGGGTGGCCTCACCGGGGGGGACGCTCTCAGGTTTGTGCCTGTCCCTGCTGAGGGCAGGAGACTGAAAGCACTGGTGATACCACACAGCAAAGCCGTGGCACCACAGTGTCAGGTGATGTTCTGACCATGTCTGCATCAGCCCAAGGAGCCCCCCCTTATTTAGGGGGACACAGGAGGGGCTCTTGTGTTAGGAAACCCCTTGGGGAGTAGGAGGACCATGCCGGCTCCCTGCCTAAGCAGCTCTCCACTGGCCCTGGAGCAGCAGCATTTGGAGCAGATCAAGAATGACCGAGTGATTTATGAGGTGCAAGCACGAGGTCCCGTGGTGCTCAGCTGGTGGGAAGAGGAAGCGGGTGGGAGGAGGGCTCCAGCACCAACATCTGCAACACCTCGCAGCGTGAAAGGACCTGTGCTTCCTCCCACTCCCCTCCACGGACCGGAGAGGGATGAAAAATCCCTGAGCAGGGATTTTTGCGGAGGTCATGGTGAGAAACACCGCCTGCTCCAGGCAAAGACCTTCCTGCCTGCAGCCAAGGCAAACCACGCTGTGGTCCCGTGTGCAGCAATAGAGACATCAGCCACAGAAGGAAAAGCCCGTCTGCTGCTGCCACCACCCATCCCTTCTCCATCATGCGGAACACAATGGCACAGCAGTGTGACCAGTTGCTCCATCATGA